CAGCATCCGCGACCCAGCATACATCTTCAATAAGAAGGAAAAAAATCATGTGAATCGGCAACTATCTCGCCGTCAAAGCACATTATATACTAAAAGCAAGAAAACACAACATGAAATGCGGATCGTTATACCCGGCGCTACTCGATTGCCTTGATTCAAGGGAAAAAATGCGGGGGGGCTCGGGACGTTGTTTTTTTGGTGCAGATGGAAAAAGGCAAGTGCAGTCAGCCCCCGCTCACGAAAAAAAAATTACTAGAAGGGGGCGCGTGGACGGGCAAGATACAGGTTCCTAATGTGGAAACCAGGCTGTTTATCGGCGGTGGCACCGAGGTGTGGACTTGTTGAACAGCATGAAGACAATACTCCATAGGCTATTGAGTAGTTAGGTGTCCAACTTGTTTGCTTCTGTTAGCTTTAACGGAGCTAACTACATTACAGATGGGATTTTGGGGTAAGCATCGGTAAATACATGAGATAGGTATACACAGCACGTAGGAGTAAGAAACGGCGTTGTACTCGGAGAAACGGCGATGCCAGGTTCCACAGTGGATAAGTAGTGCAACATGGAGAGAAAAGTAGATTGCGGGGTCTCCGCACTAACCCTACTATGTACTCTCTCATCATCACACGACACCGAAGATCGGATTGTGGCAAAAAAAAAACGGGTATCGGGTGCAAGGTAGCTTGGCGTTATTCCACAAGTCTCGCTGTAACATCGTCCCGAAGTTGCTTTTAGATGTAGTAAATCATGTCGTGTACATTCATGGTCCTCTACGACATACTCGCAATAACTTTTCTGAAAAGCGAAAGATAAAAGTCATGGGGGGTATCCTGACATACACACAACACAAACAGGCGCTATAATACTAACTACAAAGACGCCGCACGCAATGCAAACTCCACCATGTTCTTTCACCAGCACGAAATGTCCCGTTCAATATCCAAAGCCCACCTTGAGTTCGCAAAAGGCAAAAGTGAATCAATCAACCCATTTGACTAACATCTCCAAATCCCACTCTGGGTCTCGCACCACCTCTTATCCTCCCCCCTCTTGCCGCACTACTACTACCAGCAGCAGCAACGCTCCCTCCAAATCCACCTTCTCTCAGCCTCCTCTCAAAACTCGTCACGCCGCCTATGTCACCAAAACTAGTAGGTCTTGAGCTTTGCACAGGTGGAGCACTCATAGTGCCTAATCGTGATGTTCTTTCTCGTTCGAGTATTGAAGCCAAAGGTCGTCGTACAGGGCTGAAAGCACGCTGCTTCTCGGGACTAGCAGGAAGTTCAGGGTGCTTGGCGCGGGCTAGACTGCGCTTTGATGGTGTTTTCAGGTATCCGGGTTTGCTTGCTGTTGGTGGCATGGGGGTTCCTGTCCAGAAAGTTGATTGCGGGCCATCCCCAAAATCGAGATCTGACTCGTCGTCCTCGATGATGGTCGCGGGGGGAGGCCGCAGGGCTGATTCCGGTTGTGGGTACGTATTTGGGCGGCGGAGCATGGAATTTAGCGGACGCGTAGAAGATGGTGTAGGTGCCTGAGCGTACGGATTAGGTGTGAGGATGGGGTGTCGTGGAGGCTGCTCTGGTGTGAGAGAAAGGGAGAGATCAAGGTCTTTGTTCAGATCCAAAGCATCCTGATCAAAAGCTGTCCAAGCCTCCAGATACTGGGTTTCATCGCCAGACGGCTCCAGATCCCTCTGTTTCCCATGGTTTCTGTTGCCTTCGGCGCTGACCGTACCATTTTCACCTCCCCTACCATCATCACGGTCTCTATCATCGACTCTCCGCGCTCTCGGTTTGTTAGGCGTCGGGCTTGCAGACCGTTCGACAAATCGCTCTGTAGCACGCTCCGCCCAAAAGCGAACCATTGCTCTGACATGCTTTTCAAAGTTCCGGTTAAATAACGCTTTCGCATTATCTTCTTGTCTCTGAATGTTCCAGAGACGCCAGCCCATCTTCTTAAGGGTGCCTGCAGCCATAATCTCAATGCTTTCTTGTCGAAGAGCAATGGCTTGACCTTCTAGCATGTGAATGTCATCCATGCGTTGCGCCCATGTGGCCAAACAAGCGGAGGTAATCCTGAAGGCATGTAGATTGGTGGCCTGGGCATCTTGTTGGCGAAGGGTGAGCGTGCGGTCGTGCCATCGACGAATGATTTCTGCACTGGCTTGTATGGTGCGGTTCTCCAGCATATCATTTGCTCGCTGGTTCAATCCTACGATGTGGCTTGCTTTGTCTCTCCAATGTCCAAACACCCTTCGCACAAGATTTGTCTTTACCGTTCTACGGACTTGAGAGTATGTGTCGCGCCGGCGGTTGCGACGCGCAAGTTGAGTAGCTTCACTCCAGGTCTTCAGGGTATGTTTACAAAGCACGTAGTAACGTGCATCTGCCGACCATTGGTTCAGCTGCTGGAAATGCACTTGTCTTTCTTTGAGTTTGGCAAAGATGCGTTCCTTCAATCTTTGTTGATACTCGGCTGTTACAGCAAACTGTTCAGCTCTTCTCTCCGTAGTGATAACTTCCATCTTGCGCAAACATGTCCGCAACAGTTGGGCACGCTTGAACTGAGCGAACCGCCTTTCAGCAGCATCGAGAGTGTTGGCACGCTGATTTGTTTTCGTGACCCAAGATAAGAAAACTGTCTCCTTGAGCTGTCGATCGTGAACACGCTGAAAAAGAGATACTCGAGACGCAAGAGTCCACTTGTACAAACATTCGATGAGAATGCGGTCGTTGATACGCTCTTCAAGTGCTTTGATACGCAATTTGTCATTCCAGGTCGTGTAGGCATTGCGCAAAAGTCGGATGCGATCGATGATACGAGCCCGACGCGATAATTTAGCATTCTTACGCCAATTCTCGAAAGTTGAGCGAAGCAAGCGAGCATTGCAATGTGTCTGGAATTGGCGGAGTTTAGGTTCGAGCTGTGCTTGTTTCTGCATCGTATGCAAAGCCGTGCGGAGCAGGCTGGCTTTCCGGAAGTCATCTGCTTGAGATTTGAGGGCTTGAACAGCATCCGATTTCTGCTGCCACGCTTTAAACGTCCTCCGCAGTACTATTCCATCCCGTCGGTCAGTTGCCCACGTTTCTCTCTCTTTCATAATCTCAGTTATCTCACGCCACTTCAACAGCGTAGTCCTGGCTATTTGTGTATCATGCCAGTTTGATGCACCTCTACTAAGATACTCTTTGACCAAGGTATCCCATGTTCGCCGGACGATCTTGTCTTCGTAGTACGAAACCGCAAGTTGTTCAGTACCTCGTATAGCAGCGGTGCGTGCGCGCCATATGGAGAGGAATTTCGCTAAAGCGAAATGTTGAATCTTGAGCTCGTTGACTGCTGTGATTTCACGCCATCCATTGAAGAACCTTGTACGCAGAATGTGCCGGCGCGCAACTGACGTGCGCTGGACCTCCTCTTCAGCACATTTCGCCCAGTGTGTAAAAGCCTTTGTGAGCAGGAACAAACTGCGAGCCTTGTCTGCTCTGGCTTCTAGTCGTTCGAAAAAGCGATTTGTTTCTCGGCTGGATCGCCTTACAAGCGCTGTGTCCCGCAGCTGCAAAAGAGAGGCTTTGAGCAGGGTGCGACGTTCAAACGCTGCTGCTGCCCTTTCCATATCCTCTCGCATGTTCAAACGATCTCGCGTCCGACGGTGCCATGTCCATATGCATTCTCTTGTCACCTTATGAAGTCGCTGTTTTTCAAGGGTTTCCGCATTGTCAAATAATTGCGTATCGGAGGGTCTGAACGGTTCGAAGACATATGGTCGCTGTGGTTGTGGTTGCTGGCGCGTAGGTCGGTAAGGTTCATTAGGTATTGGCGCATTCACCCCAGGTATTTGGATGTGGGAAAGATCGAGGCTGGTGGTGTGGTCGGTGGAACTGTCTTGGTCCGCATCGTCGGTGGGCTTGTACGTCAGCGGTTGTCCACCTCTTCTGATCTGTAAACTGCCACGACTCGACGCAGAAGCGCTACGCTTGTGAGGCGGTCGCTGTGGACCTGAAGTAGCGCGTTGAGGCGCAATTCCATTTACTCTATTGCGAATGGGAAGTCCAGCTTGGTGGTACGAATGCGCCTCTGTGTCCGATGTAGCACGCTGTCTGTTAGGTCTGCTGCCATGGCCGTTGGGAGCGTGTTGCTGAGGTTGTCTGTTGGGGCGTAGAGCAAGGTCACCATGGTCAGTCCCAGCAACCTTATCAGCGGTCATATCGAGGAATGAATCGAAGCTTGTTGTCCTCGGCAACCGTCCCGGCCCTGCCTGAGTTCCTCCCTGTGTCGCATCGAGCCCAGCTGCGGGCTCAATGTCGTCGGCCTCGTCGCCATACCCCACAGTGATGTCAAAATAGTCTCGGAGCATGCGCTGGAAGCGACTTAGGAGATCCTCCCCCTCTCGGTCCTCGTGTTGTAGGTGGGCTAGAAAGCGGTATAGGATAGCGCTATCCTTAGGTTCTAGACGGTTGTCTTCGACATGTTTGTCACATGCATCAAAGAGGGCGCGCGACGACTTATCCTGCGAATGATGCGCTTGGTATATAATGTCGTATAGAGTTTCGACGACTGTAAGAATATCAGTACGGAGAACAGAATCAATGCGATAAAGGGAGCAAGACATACCTTCGTTGGTCAATTCATCCCTGGTCAGGTCCTTCGCGTCACGTCCATTTTGTGTCATGGGGGGTAGCATTCGTGCACGCGACTCGGTCGTCTCCGGCGCGTTCGCGACAACATGGAAGTAGCTGATGAGCCCGGGAAGTGTGCGAGCAACCAAAAAGTGGTATGCGGTGCAGTCGCGTCAAAGGGAAGGATTGCGCGCAGCGACTAAGCATTACAAAACGTATCGATGCATGGGTGACGGGGTAACCCGCTGCGCCCGCCTGCGTGAGAGCAACGCGCTTTGTTGTGCGGGTGGTTGGTCGCCCGTTCACACAGCGACAGTGCCAAGAGTCTAGTGCAGTGGACCCTGCCATTGACCTCATCGACACATGGAAGAAACATTTGCAGCGCCTCACGACATCACCCCTTTGACATTGTCATCTGTTACTCACATCAAGATGCCTGGACGAACTCGCCCTATCGACAAACTCGCCACTGCGGCTGCAAAATGTTCAAAAGAAGTATGTGCGCCACTTCATCCCCCACTTCTCGGCCCTTGCACTGTGTATTCTTTATCATACCCTAACATTCTTTAGAGTTCATTATACGGCAAATGTATTCTTGCAGACTATAATAACGTGCGCAAAGACATGTGCGTCAATGAATTCATGAAACTAAAAGAATGCTATCTCGTAAGACTACATGTGGTCGCCGAGTCATTCGTATATAGCTAACGATTGGTTCAGAAAGCGTACAAGCAGCGGTAGAAGTCATGGGTCGGTAAATATCATTGGTAACATACAAAGTTCACGATTTCTCTTGCATTTGACTGAAAGTTGTTTTTGTCATTTCTTCGACTATCTACGTTACGCTGTCATGCCATCAAAGCCCTTACTATGGGCCCACTAAACGATCCAGGAATCCATCCGCTGGAGGCATAGTGGTATTGCATGCTCCTCACAGTTTAACCAGCCGGAGCATGAACGTTGCCTTGTGAAGCTCTTGCTCCTCTTCTGCAATCACCTTCTCGTTGCTGTTTTCGGGTATCTTGCCATCAAGTTCAGTGATGACGTGCTTGTCAACGTTCCTTCTCAGAGCCTTCTCAAACAGTGGTCCTTGGTTCTCAAATGCCTTCTCAAGGCCCACTCCGTCAGGATCGCTCAAAACTCGGTACTCCATACCCACATCGTCAGTGGGTACTAGCCCAGCCTTCTTGCGCAGATCTTGGACACGACGGATGACCTCTCGAGCAAGACCCTCCTGCTCAAGCTCAGGGTACGACGCCACGTCGAGAATAATGAGAACATCATTGTCAGTGTTGAACTCTTGGTCTTTGTTGCTAGAGTCTTGTGCGAGACCACGCTTGACCATCAAGTCTTCGGCTTCAAGCTTGATGCCATCAACTACAATCTCACCGCTCTTCAGGTAATCCTTGATCTCCTGGCTCTTGAGGTTTGGCAGAGCCTTCTTGACCTTGACGGCGTCCTTCTTGAGCTTCTTACCCAGAACAGAGAAGTCAGCTGTCGCAGAGTATTGCACGTTGTACTTCTCCTCGTCGCTTGACAGCACGATTTCTCGCACGTTCAGTTCCTCCAAGATGTAGGTCTCGAGTGACTTGATGTCGTCGAGATATTGTTGCTCTGGGTGGATGACTACCAGCGTCTTGAGCGGGATCTTGAGGCCCTTGTTCGCGCGATCTCTGCAGATACGGCCAAGTTCAATGACCGACTGCATGCGCTTGACTTGACGCTCAACGGCTTCATCGAACAACTCCTCACGGACCTCTGGGAATGGCAGGAAGTGTACACTACGGCTGTCCTCTGCGTGCAGATCCTTAGGGATGTGCGGCAACAATCGCAGATAAATGTTGTCCGTAATGAATGGTGTGAAAGGTGCGAGTCCACGGCAGAGTGTGTAGAGGACTTCGAAGAGTGTGTTGAGTGCGTGCTTTGTGTCCTCTAGGCCGTACTCACCCTTCAGTCGGCGACGGTTGAAGCGAATGTACCAGTTGGTCGTGTTGTCAATAAGCTCGAGTAATCGCGGGACGACAGTGTACAGTCTGTATGCAGCCATCTCTTCGTTGACAAACTTCAACAGCGATTGGCAGGACGCCAAGATCCACCTATCCAGCACGTTTGAATTTGTCTTCTCAGCCGCTGGGTCGAACATGAAGTCAAGATCAGCGACCTTCTTCAGGAGCGATACCTGCTGCTCGAAGAACTGGTAGCTGTTCCATAGTGGTAGCAACACCTTGGAAACGATTTCCTTGACACCCGCCTCCTTGAAGCGAAGTGTCTCGGCGCGGACGACAGGCGAATTGATGAGATACAATCGCAGAGCATCGGAACCGTAGTTGTCCATGATAAGATTGGGATCGGGGTAGTTCTTTAGACGTTTTGACATCTTCTTGCCGTCCTCTGCAAGCACGATTCCGTTGACGACACAGTTCTTGAATGGCAGTTTACCAAAAAGATGTGTGCCCAAGACTGTGAGGGTATAGAACCAACCGCGAGTTTGATCGAGACCCTCTGCAATAAAATCTCCGGGGAAAGACTTCTCGAACTGCTCCACGTTCTCGAATGGGTAGTGCGCGCTAGCGTAGGGCATAGAGCCAGACTCGAACCAGCAGTCAAAGACTTCGTTGGTTCTCTTGAGCGTACCCCTGCCTTCTTTGCTGGGAATGGTAATGTGGTCGATCTTGTCACGGTGAATGTCGGTGAGTTCACCCTCGTATCCGCTAAGCTTCTTCAGCTCCTCTACGCTGCCAACGCACACAAGCTCTTTTCCGTCATCGCTGACCCAGATCGGGAGTGGAGTACCCCAGAAACGATTTCTTGAAACTGCCCAGTCAGGCGAGTTGGAAATCCAGTTGGCGAAACGCTTCTCCTTGACGAACGAAGGAACCCAGTGTGAGCCTGCAATGTTCTCCAGCATCTGTGGAACAATGTCCTGAATCTTGATAAACCATGAGGGAACAGTTCGGTAGATCAAGGGAGTATCAGATCGCCAGCAGAAAGGATAGCTATGGAGAAGTTGCGAGTCTACGATCAAGCGTCCAGTGCCTTTCAGGTGCTTGATGATGCCCTTGTCTGCTGCCTTGACGTGCTGACCCTCGAAGTCGCGAACAACTGCAGTGAAGCAACCTTGATCGTCGACTGGATTTGGCGGTACTCTGGTATCGGAAATGACTCCGTGTGCGAGTGCGACGCGGTAATCGTCCTCTCCGTATGCGGGCGCCTGGTGGACGATACCCACACCGCTATCGGCTGTAACGTAGGTGTCGTTCAAGACCTTGAAGCCGTAGTCTTTGAATTCATCGTAAAGGTAGTCAAAGAGGGGCTCGTACTTCCAGCCCAGCATGTCCTTGCCCTTGATCTTCTCAACAATCTTGAACTTGGCCTTCTTGGGGTCCTTGTAGAGTGTACGTAGCAGTGTTTCGAGGAGAACGTAGTGTTTTCCGGATGCTTCGTCGAGGATCTTGACATATTCGAAATCGGGGTGCGCGCAGAGACCAGTATTGGATGGCAGTGTCCATGGAGTGGTGGTCCTGTTATAAAATATCAGCACATGTCCGCAAAAGCAAGCTAGTATTGCCAATTTATGGAAATTGACAAGCAAAGAGCGAGCAGAAATACTTACCATGCCAATAAGCATGTGTTTGGATCGTTGACAAGTGGGAATGTAACAACGACTGCCGGGTCTTGGACATCTTTGTAGTTTTGAGAAGCCTCAAAATTACTGAGAGGCGTTGCCAACGCTGTACTGTAGGGCATGACCTTGTACCCACGGTATACAGCGCCCTTGTCGAAGAGGCGCTTGAAAACCCACCACTCGGATTCCATAAAATTGGTATCCATGGTCTTGTAGTCGTTGTCGAAATCGATCCAGCGCCCAAGACGGTCGATGGTAGATCGCCATTCTGTCGCATATCTCATGACAATGGCGCGGCACTTTTCGTTGTACTTTGCAATTCCAATCTCGCGTACAGCATCACGTCCAGACATGCCCAGTTCCTTGTCGATTTCGTACTCAATCGGAACACCATGGGTATCCCAGCCGAATCTCCGCTCTACGTAACGACCCTTCATGGACCAGTAACGCGGAATAATATCCTTGATGGTGGACGCTAAAAGATGGCCATAATGAGGCAATCCGGTCGCGAACGGCGGTCCATCGTAGAAGGTGTATGGTTCTTTGCCTTTGGACTGGGTATTATTAGTACCAAAAACATGAGGTATGGCTGTCACGGGCTATGCAATATAGCTATAACAAGACAAGATCACAACAGACAAGCCGACAGAGGGGCACGTGAAGTATGTTGGAAAAGGGCGCAAGAAATCGCAACCACTTACCAGCTCAACTTGCCTCAGGAAGGCGTCGATCTCCTTCCATCGCGCAAGCACGCGCTCCTCCTCGCGAGGGAAGTCAATAGACATTTTTGGTGTTGATGAGAAATAACCGTGGCGGGGAACGATTTTCTAGAGTTGACTCCTCCGAATCCCCGCCACTAGCGTGACTCACTATCGATAGAGCCCCGCCCTCGGTCTCACGCTATGCGAATTGCCTGCTATAGTAGCACTAGAGCATCTGAACTTCCAAGGTAGGCCTAGAACAACTATAGGATCCGTCTACGTTGGAATGAAACGAACATCGAGCCAAAGAAGCGTGTGCATATGAAAAATTGAAGGATTGAACGTGCTTTATAGTAATCAATTATTCTTTGACCTCTGCAAAGCCCACCAAAACTCTGCATCCAGACGACAGATATCACAAAAAGCCCCTCTTCCCAAATAATACTAGGACCTGCATAATACAACATTGGTGATCTCCATTACATTCTACTCCAGTAGCTGCCCCTTGTTCCACTCCAACCTTACTAATCGCTACCGTCCGGTTCCGAAAGGATCAGATAGAGTCCCATAGGACACTTGTAGTTGCTCTGTTTAAACTGAAACAAAGTGTTCTCAGAGCATAGCATACCGCTCCTCACCACCATTCCCTTTTGTTCCCGACCAATAAAGCACGGCCCCGAGCTAAGAACGTAACTGTTGCCGGGAGCAAGCTGCTTCATGAGAATCGGGGGTGTAATGCTAATTGGAGGCTTATTGTTCCAGTTTGTAACAATGGGAAGAGGGATCCGGGCGCTATGGGCAAAGGGATAGAACGTGAAGCGCCCTGGACCGATCATGCGGGTTATGCCTGGCGCTTGCTTTTGGTTGGGGAAGTTGAAGACGAGATTGCAGGTTTTGCCTCTGGCTTTGTCGGTATCAAAGGGTATGTTGAAGACGGTGCATTTGTCTCTTGCAGTTGTAGCGGCCCAGCCGTCGGGTACGAAGAATTCGGTGGGTCGCACTCGGCTGATCTGGAAGACGTCTCGGGGCACAAAGCTGCGGCTTTTTGGCAAATCGCCATATGGTTGAATGAAGGAAGTTGGGCAGCTGTTGGGGTTTGTGACGAATACCCGCGGAGTGAGCTCTATGGTTGATTTATCGAACACTATTGCGATAGTTGTGGCCGCAAAGGCCGAAAGGATTGCAATGATTCTCATGACGGGTTATGACTTTTCAGTAGGGATTGAGTGACAGTTTGATCTTAAAGAGGTCCTGTTGCTGTCCTAGCCAATACAGATTCTATCTTGTAGAGTCCTGTTGCCCTACGCTGGTTGTTGGGTTACCAATAGTATTGACATCAATGCCTCGTACCGTCTCTGCCTTGCGTTGGCTGTTCGACGGAGGAGAAATCACCACCACTCTATTCACCAGATCTCGCAGGTATACCGCGATAGTCCCAACATAAGACACCGTTCAGAAGATTAAATCCATAACAATGCGCTGTACTGGCAATCATGTTGTAATTGATCTAAGACAGAAAAGCCTGTTCCCAACTATGTGGCAGAACCTTGGTCACGCACCAAAGGACATTCGGTACCCCCATATTTCTTACCAATCGTCGAGAACATGCCTATGATAAATAGAATACCAACCATTTGACGTCTAAAGGTTTCGAGACAGCTGCAACAAAAATCAAAATCGGTGGTATTAACACATCGCAAATCCAGTTTACTACTATCCACACACACACTAACGCCCACAAAAACAACCCTAATCTCTACACGACCGTACCTTCCCTCCCACAATCGTGCCACCCGATCCTTTGCCACCGGTACGAAGCACACAGTACATAAGTGCATACACGGGAACCTATTTTATGTAGGAGCGGCTCCGCATCCTCACATCGTCACCCCAAAAGCGCCTACAACGCCGCCTAATGAAACGCTCAGGCCCGCTGATTCCACCACCCATCAATTTCCCGTAAGCCACAAACCTCCCCTTCACATGAGTCTTTTTTAGCCACAAAAGGCACGAAAGAACAAAAAAACACAGTTTTATGACTATCAGCCTGTATAAACCTTATTTGCGACTTGTGAAGCATCCGGCGTCAACCTAGATAGATTAAAGGGAAAAGCGATGGTTACGGTTGATGTTGTGCGCAAGGGAGCAGAGGCTGAGAAGAACAAAGAGAAGCAACAAACCTAATGCAATCTCGCGGAGTAGTATTACTCCATAGTGGTCCTTACACTAGAAACGAAAGTCGCAAGCATGCCTAAGGCGCACATCCCTCCGCGTGAGATCCTTCTAATGAACCCAAAGGCTTATGCACACAATGCTCTCGTACACAGTATGCATAAATACGCCGCCATCTGACACCCTCTGCGACAGCGGGCATATAATAAAGCCGAGTCCATCGGTCTCACAGACCTTCGCTTGCGTTAGTTAAGTGAGGAGCAGGCCAAAAAAAAAATTGTACTTGGACAACATAAGACTACACTACACAGTCCAAAGCTCGTTTGCATTAACAATGTACTAACGCGGACAGACACGAACCATTTTAATATGACTAAAATGCAGGAGGAAAACGCAAAGACCACACCAATCTCTCTATTTTTGGGTGTGGGAAGGGAAGTGATTGCGCAAAAAAAAAACGGGTACAGAGTTAGAAGGGGGAGGTTGCTTGTTTCCCCATGCTAAGACCTTGGTGCGGAGGGAATGGGGGGGGTGGTGGTTGAATAATTTATGATTAAAAACGGCGCGAAAAGGGAAATGAGGCCGTGGGAAAGCGGATTTTGTGGTGAACAGGGATTGCACGAGGCCACCCACCAGGCATAGAAGGTGTGACTGGGTTGGCGTGTCATGATTGGGAAACGCCGGAAATTTGATGGTCTTGTGTGCAAGGGCGCTTGGTTTCCATATTCGGAATGGAGGTCCGAGTGCGGAGGCCCGGGGGTAGTTCGATGGAGAAATTTCGACTGCAGCTCAGAGGATTTGGTCGTGCTATGGCTTTCCTTTCCTTTCGTTTTGTAGTGCTGACTTCAGAGGGTCGTTCTGAGAACAATTCAGTCTTCACTCAGGGAGACGTTGTTTGGGAGAAAACTGGGAGGGGTCTGAGAACTTGGATAACAATTCAAGTGATGTACAGTGTCACAGGCGATGTTCAAAAGTGGATATCAGTCAGAAGAGAAAATTGGTGTTTCAAGTTCAATTGCTACAAATCAACCCAACTAATTACAATTACCCTTTGCGATACCAAGGGCGCACCTATAAGCGAAGACCTAAACCTCTATGCAATGCACTCATGTAAAGTCATAGCCTACTAAGTAGCAAGCTGGATTGAAGAAGATGACATTTACAAGAAGAAAGCAGCGAAAGCACCGACACCAGCAACGAAGCCACCGACGTTGAGAGCAGAGGCGGCACCGGTGAACTGAGCAGGAGTGGAAGGCTTGATGTAACCACCGGTCTTGGTGGGGTATCCAGTGCCAGCAGGAGGAGGGGGAACACCGGTACCGGCAGGGACAGATGGGTAGGGAGCACCGCCACCTGGGGCCGATGGGTAAGGAGCAACAGGGACGGAAGGCTTGCCAGGAACGTAGGGAGAAGGAGGAACACCAGTACCAGTAGGGTAGGGGACGGTGACGGTGATGGTGGTGGAGCTCAAGCAAGAGGTGGTGGTGTCAGGGCTGGGGACCTTGGGGGTCTCAGCGGGGTAGCTCTGCTGAGGAGCGGGGACCGAGGGGGTCTCAGCAGGGTAGCTCTGCTGGGGAGCGGGGACCGAAGGGGTCACAGCAGGGTAAGTAGCAGGCTTGGAGGGAGTCTCAACCGGGTAGACGGGGACCGAGGAGGTAGCTGGGTGAGGAACCTCAGTGGTGCAAGACTCGGTTGAGGCAGCAGGAGGCTGGCTGGGAGTCTCGACGGGGTAAGCCGGGTAGGCGTTGTAGCCGGGAGCAGCGGCGGCGAAGCCGGCGAAGGCAGCGATGGCAATGGTGTAACGCATTTTGATTGTTGGGTATTAGAACTTGAAAAGTAAAGGATGAAGTGGGTGGTGGAAGAGGTTGGAAGAGGGTTGGCGAGATTGAATTATTAAGGATAGTATTAGGTTGAGGACAACGAATGGACGACTCGAAGGTCAGGGACTTGATGCTCGAAAGTTGGCTGTGAAGTGGAGAAGAAAAGTTGAAGGGCGAGCACTTCGTCAGCTTATGTAGCAAAGGGAGATTGCAAGCGTCGTAGCGCGGGCCGGAAACATGTGGCCACTGAAAGGGGGGTGGGCAGGACAAGCGACAGGGGCGGAGACGTCGAGGCCATGCAAGTGGTCCAGCGGGTGTCAGGACTAACGCAGGTCCCAAGTGGTCCCCCGGCGGTCGGCTGGCCAGTGGCAGGGCGGGCGTGCCTGGTGCTAAGACGACATGGGCAGGTTGCCTGCTAATAGCGGCCGTGGCTCTCGTGTTGGCTAAATGAACCGGCGTCGAGACGCCCTGAAGCGGGAGACGAGGCGTCAATTCGCACCCGCTGGCACCTATTCGAGTCGTGCGCTGGCCGGCGATCGCAGCAGGGAATGCTCAGCTTGCTCAGGAGAAACGTCTTATCGGGCTGCCCGTTGAACGCAACCCCTCCACTGCAACTGCGATACAGCAGCACAGGCGCCAGTCTCCACGCGCCATCGCCATCAGCATTGTGCGCCTGGGAGATCGCTATCGCTATCCCGAAATAGTCTGCACGGCCAAGTGTCAGCGTCGCAGAGTCTGCAGGGCGTGTCAGCGACTTTCTTTTTGTTTGCAAACATTTTCCCCGTCGCGCCCTCGCAGCAGTGGACCGCTTCGTCAGCTCGTCTGGTCGTGCGCTGCACACACCCACATAGCATATACCCACACGTCTCACCTGTTGCTGGCGGCGATGCACTCTCCTCAGACGTGCAGCTGTGGGCGTGTGTGTGCACATGCATATGGATGGGGGGTGGAGCAAGCAGACGGCGTTGGACTTATTGGCTTCGGTGTGGATGGACGGAACTGCTTCGCCGCCTTGCCAAGCCAGTGGAAATTAAGCCTTGGGGCGTCGCCGCTTCTGGCCTAGCGCCACAGCTCCCTCGCCCGTTCGGGTCTTACGCTGTCACCGTCCCCCTCGCTGCTCCCAGCTCATCTCGGCCTCACCTTTTTCTCAACAAGGCCCAGGCCACTAAAAACCCTCGTGATGCTGCCGCCGCCTGTCGTCATCGTTCCCACTGCTCAGCGGCTCTCTCGTTGCTTTGGCCTGGCTGGACACGCCCCAGCGACGTTTGTTGTCGGCTCCCTGACCGCCTCAGATGCCCTTACTACACCACGTGCCCCACGCCTGCATTCAGCCAGAATGCCATGCTCAAAGTTAAAAATATCCCGGTTGGCTATCGGCAACAGCATCTGTGTCCGCACCCCTGCCCGTTGCATTCCACCCCAGTCGCCTAATCAATGTCGATCGTATGGTTCTCCATGCCAACAGCCTGCCGTTTTGGACCTGTCATGGCACCCATCCTGGCCCTCCTTTCCAGCCGAAATCAGGCGGTCAGATGATTCACTAATGTCCAATACCGCCACTCTGCTCTATAGGTCACATCCACGTAGTGATTGGTCTTTGATTATTATTGTGTACGTTCATGCTGCTCCTTCAACAACAACAACAACAACGACAACACTCACTGCGTGTCCCTCGCAGCCAGCCCGTCAGCTTTTCTTACTCAACGTGCTTGATTGCAATCTGCGATAGGCTAAGTATTGATAACACTATCAGCAACTAGCTTGCCATCTAACACCATCTTGATAATCGTAGCACCTCTCAGATCCTCCACCCGACCAGTGCTCATCTTGGCACTGGCATTTGTGAACACCACCCTCCCAAAGTCTGCCAGCGGCAAACACCCTCCAGCCAAAAAGTCTTCGATGATCCATTCTGCATTGTCGCCGGTCAAGAAGATGCCTGGAGGCGCTGTCACATCCACACTAATACTGTTGCCAGTGCTGACGTTGATCAATCGAACATGCCCCATGGTCGGCGATGTAGTCGCTATATTCACTTGGATCACATCCCCGCCTGTAACGTTGAAATTGTACAGATAGGATGCCTCGTAACGGAACCCCTCGTACCATGCCGTGTATGATACCTTGCCGGATATTTCAACAGCCAAGTCCACGCCACCCCGTAGTTGGGACTCAAATGTATACTCACTAATACCCACCCATGCGGACCCCCATTCTGTGTCGCTCGAGGCGCCAGTGTGCTTGGGTATCAGAACCGTAAAACGCCCCATGGCAGGCGCAAAGTTACCTACGCAAAGCTTTTTGGAGAGCATAGCACCCGCCCGGTTGTCTCGAGCTACTACCCGGTGTGCATTCTCTATATCCCTCGCGATGGATCTGCACCGCATCTTCAAGCCCGTGCTGTCTTGGACTGGGGGCTGTGACAATTGTTGATAGTTTCCATGGACTCGGGCCTGTACACCCTCGGCCAGGACCGAGCTGGAAACGATAGCGACGAAAGTAAGAGAGAGTTTCATAGCGTGGCAGCACTAAGCTTGGTGGACCTGAAAAGGTAGACAAGCTATCTACTTTCCCTTGTGGGACTTTTGGTCATTATGTTATATCTATTGATCACTGATGGGCTGGATTTTAGTTTCGCCTTCATGACTTCCCATAGGCGTTGTATGCTATCGACATGCATTGTATACTTTTATCATGTCGCCAAGGCACCGAAGCCGCTCTACTCAGATGACGATGTTTTGACCATAAAGTCGACCATTTGAATTTGGATTTTTGTGCTATTGGAGGTGAGGGTATGTATACTTTTGGGTAAAGATTTATATTTCTAGAGGAAACAACAGTGATCATCCATGTGTATGGAGAAAAAAGGAGCCCTATTTTTGCATGAGGGGTATGGTTCCTTCATAAGGTTTCGGGGGCGGCTCCCAAAAGAATACTTAGCCGGACAGTATTGGCGTTGCATTTGCATTTGCGGTGTTGTGCACAATCAATTCACAGACAGTGCAAGAACAACAGAACATCATCAGACATGTGTGATGATACTCCAGCCATCTACTACTAGACAGCGAGGGACCAGTACCCATCAGCCAAGTTCCATACTACATGTATCTAGGACTGTCAGATTTCGAGTATATTTCTTTTGCCGCGTGGAGCCAGTTGCTTTGCATATCGGCAACAGTTGCACAGGCCCTTCGGAGAAGCTGCGACCGGCACTTGTACAAACAAACTCGGAACCGTGCGGAAAGAACAGTGCCGTGCTGTGATAACAAAGACTTAGAGCAGTACTAGTACGTAAGTACACCACCTACACGACGCGATCAGTGCGCAATGAGCGGGAGGCCCCTCCTGAAGCGTCCTTGATCAACAGGGGCCGCCCCACACTTGCCTTGTCCGTCTCAAACACCTGTTGACTTGTCTTACCCAACAGCTCGCCTCACAACACAAGCAAATCCTCTCTTCAATATCTGAAGCCCTGTTCCCTCCCTACTCTTCTCTGCTGACATCATGTTTGACACAGCTAACTGACACTACAGGCATCACCGAAGTTTCGCTGCCCAAACGATCATCGCCTGCCTTGAAACAACGACTTCGTACCTCCACTCCCGGCCCACCCACCACCATTACGTTGCATTCAGCATGCGCTTGGAATACGTAGTGTCAGTCCGTCGAGATTTCATGTTTCCAAATACCCAGACTGGACGTATCGGAACCGCACTCGGCCCTTGCTGATCTCATCTGAGCATGGCGATGACCAGGCGCATCCACCTTTTATTATTACTATCTACGTGGACGAGTGCGTAATACCAGGGGTTCCCAAGAACTATCTACGGATCACCCGCCAAAAAGCATTCCCCTGAGTTCAGATTCCGATGACGTCATTGGCAATCCAGCTTAGAGAATCACACCTAGGAATACCTCTCATAATCCATGGGCAAGCAAGGCTCCAGGTATGGATGTACCATTCCGGGATATCCCACCATCAAGCGGATACCCGGAGATCTTCCAAGCATTCCCATTGATCATACCCTGCGCCAGTGGCCAGTCGCACAACCCAATTGACATCTGAGGCTAGACCTTGCGCACCCAGCGTACCGATTCAACTAAAACAAGCCCAGAAAATAAATTGCGATTGGCAAGCCTGGGATCCATTATGGACTTTGGGAAGCGCCATGTGACATGACGAGCCTCCAGTTTCCAGCCCTTTTCTTTCTTTTGTTATGACTTTATTCCAAGTTATCCTGGATGCAGTGAAGCCCCTGGACTGATCTTCTTCTCGCTGTGGCTGGCCGCGTATTGTTTCCAGGATCCCTACGATACCAATCTGAGATCTACCCTACTCACTAGTTTGAAGGACACCTTATCAGAAGCAAGTTTCGACCGTATGGAAAGGCATTGCTGACATCAGCAGCTCCATGCATAAGTCCAATGGAGCCCAATGAATGGCATGGGCATTACTACTAACAGAGACATGACACATTCTATATGGGAACCAAAAAAACAGCCCTCGATATTTTCTCTTGAAGATGCAAAGTCCATAGTCTGGTGCCGGTTCCCGTCCCCTTTCTGCCATCTCTGCAAATCCACATCTGGTCATTTCCAAGGATCCCCGCCTATATGACGCGCGGCCGCGGCATGCCGGATCAAATGAGAAAAAAAAAACATTGGCCAGAATCTTGCAGTCGCTATGTGTATCTTTGAGTTTCATTAGAGCTTTACTCGAGGGTATAACTGTTAATCGGAAACGCCTTTCACACAGTGAACATGTGATCTCATGAACAAAAACATACCACGCCAGACGTTTGTTCACCCCTATACTACAACTGCTGTTCTCTGTAAACGCAAAACACTCGTTTCGAAACTGTACCAGAGGATTTCTGTATCATCTTCCCGGGTATCTTCATGCATCATGGGAAACTCACACGTCCACGCTCTAAGGAACAGCAACGCACCTCAACAGCACGGAGACATAATAGAGCATTATAGATTCTGTAACCGACAGCTTTCCCACGATGCCCCATGCTACCTTCCAAACGAAATGGTCAGTGAGGAAAATAAAATATCTTCCAACACAATCGCTGCTACAACTCCGTCGTCAACGGCACACGAAACCGTTCAAGTGCTCCATCAGATGCCCTCACAATCGGACTTGGTATATGAGACAACGACACGTATCGCAACCCATCACTAAACCCCACACTAGTAGATAGCAAGAGAAAAGAAGTGGACAAACACGTCATACGAAAACAAAAGCATTTCATATCCCAACTGTTCCATACACACATAACTTAACTCTCCCTCTTACTTCGATACATACATAGTTACATACATGCATACATTCCCATGGTCACCCCCCTCCCCCCTCCATCCCACCAAAAGAAAAAAAACAGGAAAGGTGGGGGGCTAAAACTCTCCAACACGACCCAAAATGCCCTCTCAAAACGCCATGCTAATACACACATACGCGAACACGCACACGCATACTTCGGTGGCTCTCTCCTCTAACTCTCTCTCCTTCCCCTCGGGATAAAAGAGCCGAGTCTGAAAAGCAAAAAAAAAAGACAAGAAAAAAAAACAATCCGACGCAACCGGTCTCGCATCTGCCCCGTCCTGCAGTCCCATCCGCCCGCCCGCCCAGCCTTACGTCATACAATCAATAAGACGTCAAAAGAAGAGAAGAAAAGAAGAAAACACCGTTGAAACGCCACCTCCCCAATCCTGTGACAAAAACAAGAAAAGAGAGTTGTGCTTCAAAACTCAAAACATTGCCTGTCTACAGGTTCTTATCGCCAATTGTTTCTTTCAAAAAAAAACCTCCTAAGCTTTCATCTTGCCCAGGAAACCGTCCAGGTCAAACTCTTCATCGTACTGCTTCTCATCCCAGAGATCACCCAGTTCATCCAAGAAGCCCTTTTTACCCTTTTCTCTCAGCGCGCCCGTGGCATCAACAGCATCGTTTTCATCGATGCCAGTGCCGTCGTCCTTGGCATTTGAAGGTGGTGCAGGCAGAGCCGAAGGATCGTTTGAATCAGCAGATACGTTGAAGAGATCAAGGATCTGATCCGTTTGCATGGACTGCAGACCGGCGTTTTGTTGGTTGACAACCGTCGAGGCAACGTCGATTTTGAATCGTTGGAGACTGTTCACGAGGGTTAGCGTTTGTGACCATGTGGTTAAGGAAAATAGGTGAATACGTACTTGAGGATCTTCTCCTCCAGGGTACCGCGCGTAACAATGCGGTAGACGTTGACCACCTTCTTTTGACCAATACGATGCGCGCGGTCCATAGCTTGGATATCCTTTTGCGGGTTCCAGTCGTGCTCGACGAAGATGACAGTGTCGGCACCAGTCAGATTGAGACCGAGACCACCGACACTAGTGGTAAGAAGCAAGACGTCGTAAGACGGATCTGTGTTGAACTTGTTGACAATTTCTTGTCGCTTGGTCGCTTCAACACCACCGTCCAGACGCATGAACTGGACAGACGGTAGCAGCTTCTCGAGCACATTGTGCTGCACCATGTCCAACATCTCCTTCATCTGGCAAAAGACGAGGGCGCGATGTTGGGAGACAGCTTCGGGTAAGTCGCCGTTCGCGTTCGCCGACTTGTCGCTGACAACATCTGATGCTCCGATGCCACAATCGACAAGCAGATCCTTGAGAGCCCCGAGCTTGGGTGCGTGCGCAATATCGTCAATCGTAGTATTGTGCTTTTTGAGGTACTGTTGAGTTGACTCGTACGCCTTGTTAGTAGGGCCCTTGACAACAAGCGAAGGCGAGTTGCAAAGTTTCTTCATGTACTGCAACGCCTGAAAGATGTGTTGCTTGCTCTCACGATCGGCATTACCAGCCTTGGACTGGATTTCCTTGCCTTGACGTTTAGTGAAGTCGTCAAAGAGGTTGCGCTGCAGCTCGGAAAGATCACAGTAGTAGTTCTGTAGAATCTTGGGTGGTAAATCATCCAGAACCTCTTCCTTGAGACGACGAAGGAGGAAGGGCAGCACTTGCTTGTGAAGAGCCTCAATGGCCAAAGCACCCCGTTCTTGCTCCTTTGACGAACTCTTCGCAAACCGAGATGCGGCAATGGGCTTGGCAAACCGTTCCTGGAAGACCTTCTCCGTACCAAGGAAACCTGGCATGAGGAAGTCAAACAAGGACCACAGCTCAAGAACGTTGTTCTGAATTGGCGTGCCGGAGAGGATAAGGCGGTGATTCGACTGGAATTGCTTGACAGCTTGGCTTGTCTTTGACTTGGAATTCTTGATCAAGTGTCCCTCGTCGAGGACGCAGTAGTTCCAGTTGATGGGTTTGAGGATATCGGCGTCGTTGCGGCAAATGTCGTAGGAAGTAATGACAATGTCTACTTTGTCAAGCTCGTTCCTGTACTGACTTCGGATTGGTGGCGAGCCTACGTAAGCAACACAGCTGAGGAAAGGCGCATATTGGCGAATCTCCTGTTGCCAGTGACCAGACAGGGTGGGCGGGCACACAATGAGAGATGGTAGGCGACGGAAGTTTG